ATGTGATTTGGATAGTTTTTTTTTTTTTCATTTTGAAGGATTGAGGAATGAATGTAGGCTGATCTGTTGTTTAAGTTCATTCGAGTTTGACATTCGTTTGGAGTGTCTTCCATAGCTGCTGAGCTTAATATAGATGTTGTGTTGCTCAATGTTGAAGGAGGTTCTCTTTCGCGGCTGCGCCCGCCCTTTCGAGATAGTGAGAGAGACTCTTCCGTGTGCATTGTTCTTTGATATTGAGTGGAACATTTGGCTCAAGAGAAATAAGAAAATTTACGGAGTTGAAGCAAATTTTTGGAGCAGATGAGAGTCCTTTGGTATTGGTCCTATTGTGTTTATCTCTAAAGAGTTCTGTAACCATTGCTTTGCCTCCTATCATAACAACTAGAGTCGTCTTTTTGTAACGCTTAATTTGGTTCTTGTGTACAGTTCTTTTGTGGCGGGTTTTTCGTTTCTGTTTTCGTTTCTTTTCTTTTGCAACATTTCATATAGAACCCCTAATTTTCAGAATCCCTTTTGAATGTCGAAACATTTCTTGAGAAAGAGAAACTCTGTCCTCTCGTTTAAATAAATGTCTTGTTTCTGAATTAAGGGGCTTGCTTGGATCAATCGAGCTTCGAAAAGTCAGGCATCCATAGGGAAAGTAAGCGATAGACATCCAGGTATTTGAGTTCTCTGCATAGTCTGTTGGGTCAATAACCTTTCGGCATTGCTTCCTAACTTTTTTGTTCTTCAGGTTACGTTGCAACTGATTCCGAATCAAGCGATAGGAGAGTGAAACGAGACGACATCAGATGATCCTTTTCACTAATCTTAGTATGTTCTTCTGAATTCAAACCTTCATATAGTAGAATTCAACTACTTATATATATGGTTTTAATTCATTTTTGTGAAATTCAGCATAGACATGGGACTAGGAGAGAAAAAGGAAAAAGTGTTATCTACATGTTAATGGGTAAAAATTACAAATTGTTTTGTGTTTTCCACAGCCTGCTCAGGTAGATCTCTTGCATTTATATATACATTTTTAGTTGTTGGTAGCTCTTAGTTAAGTTTTGTAGTTTACTATCTACTTATTATCCATATTTTAAGCATAGCTTGGATTTCTAAAGGAATATAACATTTTTGGTTTAAACCCATTTTGGTCCTTTGAATTTAAAATGTCTATTTTAGTCCTGAACTTGAAAAAAATAACCATTTTGGTCCCTGTTGATACTTTACCTTTTAATTTTAGCAAATGGGTGACATATTTTTGAACATCTGTACTAACCTGAGCATGCATTAAAGCCATGTAAGCTGGCTGGTGCAGAGTATTGAGTAGGGTCGATATTAGTAACTTGGAACTACATAGTGTAAAAATGGTGGCTGTGTGTATGCACGTGTTTGTTTCTACAAGAAAATTATTAGCAACTTGCCATTGGGAGAACAATGTGAAGGATCTTAAGGCTGGTAAATATGTACTACTCCCACTTTCATTGGGAGGTTGATTAGAAGATAGTGAAGTAAAATATTCTGGCAGTTGTTCTAAATTTTCTTGAGCATCTCTGTAATTTATTGGATAGAATCAATGGGTTTCTTTATTAAATTATTCACAGTTCCATGTTCTTTTTCGCAGTTCGTAATCCTTGAACTGCGAAGTTTACAGTCAAAGGGGGTGTCTTTTCTCTGCATAATCATCATCTAAAGCTTTTGGTTACCCATTGTAATGTAACCTCCACCATGTTCATACTGTACTGGTTGATTAAATTTTGAATGGTGAATTCATGTTCTTTCTTATGCTTAATCATCAACCAGTTTCGGATTACTACCTGACTAAACCAGAGAGAAGTTCTAAAATGAATCATATGGTTTTTATAAGTGTAATAATTAACTTCGTTTTCAGATTTCTTCAGTTACAAATTTACAAGCAATGTTGAAGATAGTTGAGATAAATAATGAAGCGAGAAGAGAAACCTTGTTTGGGTTTGTTTCTTTGGGTGCTCTTCTGCTTCTTCTTGGTACACTTGAAATGAAAGTTCGCGTATAAGTTATAGGTGGGTGTTGTAGCAGAAAGCAGGCGACAAGTGGGTGTTGTAGCAGAAAGCAGGCAACGACCTTACTTGAATTCTGTTCTATAGGTTGGACATTTGGGTTCCTGAATTYTGAAAGCAAAGATCAGGTTCTATTTCCCTTCACGTTTTGCCTTTCTCCATTCCCATGGCTGCTCTGGGTTTGAAGAAGCCCACAGCCCAGCTCTTTTAGCTCGAGCTTCCTTTTCCCACTGTTATGAGTTATGAATTATGAATCATAGGATGATGCATCAAGGTTTTATACTACAGATATTACATACTATGTGTGAGTTTTGGAAGAAGTTTTAATTAATGAGAAAATCACTTTTGATTAGGTACAATGTAAAATTTGAATAGCATTTGTAATGAATGGGCTACAAGCACTTCCCATCTTTCAATAGCCACTTTAAACTCATCCTAATTTGCAAAGCATGGAATTAAGTGAAGGGATTCYAATTAGGATCTTTTATTTCTCCTTTTTTTTTTCATATAAGTGTTGGTACACTTGGGTCTAATATGCCAACAATCATAGCGCTCTCTCTAAAGTCTCCCGACTTTTCTAATGGTTTTTTTCTTTTTTTCAGTGGAAAATCATTCTGAAAAGTAACTTTTTCATTGGTTAGCTTTTTCTTTCTAATTTTTGGTTTAATTTCTACAGAGTTTTTGGGTTAAAACTGTGAAATAATGGACTAAAATTACAAGTGAATAGAAGTCCAAAGACAAATCAAAATGTAACTCACCTTTGCTAGCTCTGCACGTTTGTCATAGGCTGCGTAATGCCATGCGAACCCCTTTTTCAACATTGCTTCCTATGGAGAGACCCAAAATTTAAATTGTTCATTGTGTAGAGGCTATCGTGCCACCTATAGTAAAAGAAATTATATTTTGGACAATAAAAAAATAGTGTAATTAGCGTTTACCTGAATAAACTTTCCATTGCAGTACAAGTCACCCACACACCGGTTATACCGATCTTCTCCGTACACGAGTACTCTCAAACACTTGCCTTCGACAAGCTTTGTTAGCTCTTCTTTTGCTTCTTTCCCATAAGGCATTGAGCTTTCTGGTGCATCTATTCCTCTGGATAAATCATGTTCAACCGAGGGTCAAAAGATTACGAATTCGTTTGAAACAATTTCGTTATTTCAAATATGGAAACAACTTCACTCCTTTTCTCTAGGTTTAAATCCTACTCTGATGTATGTACTCTTAAAAAGTCAATAGTTAATACAAATTGTATAAACAATGAAAATCCAATCCTTTTTAAGTTATGACAATATTTCAAGAAATATTTCAAGAAATTTTATGGTGTGGTGCTCAAATTGCAATTAAAAAAAAAATGAGAAAGGACGAAATGGATATTTTAAAGGTACATGCTCATTATAATTACCTGAGACGAATTCGGTATTTCTTTGCAAGAATCTCCTCGTTTTGAAAAGTAAGCACCCTTTCGAGGAAGAAGAAACGGGCATCAAATCCCAGTAATTTATAGAAGAAAATTCAACTGTACATGCGTAGATGTAGAGGCAGACAAATATCATATAACTCACCTGTAACCAGCATCAGTTATTTTCTTGTGAAGTGCATCAGCCTTTGCGTAGTTCTTGGCTGCTCTAGCATGTGATCTTTGAACCGCGGCTGCTTGAACCTCTTTTGGAATACAAGCGGATTCTCTGGGGTTCTCTGTACTGACATAAACTGTCACTGTATCTCCATCTGCTACCGCTTTTGCATCAACCTGGTAAATTCAACACATTCAGAACACACATTTTATGATCAAAATGGTTGGTCATTGGTCACTTAATTTCTCTTTTAATTTTCTGCCAACTTACTAAGTATCATGTCATATAAGCTTATCGTTACCTCGRTTTAATATCTGCCGACTAAAAAWTACCTAAATCATAGAGACTTAGACATATATTTACAGTATCCTATTAACTTACTGGTAATGTCTGCAGCTCRAACTTAATACCGTCAGGTAGCGGTGCGCCGGTTGTTGGGGCGGAAGCAGAAAGTTCAACGAGAGTGTGAGGTAGAGGGAGACCATAGAAAGCCAATAAACCCTGTTGTAAAAGGAAAATTAAACACAGAGGACTTGATTAATTGGTTTTCCATTTCAGTTCATCGGATCAAACCCCATTTGGATTGTGGAGACTATTCATTACATGGATCAAATTTCTTTCCTAAAATTTTGAAGCTGAAGTAGATTATCAGAGTTGCCCATATTTGACAAGTTCATATATAGATTCCCAGATTCCCAATACAGCAACACAAGCAAGAGAGTTAAAAAATGGTGGAAACTAGAATGTTGTAGCTGTAAGTTCGTACCTCGACATCTTTCTTTTGGTGTCTCTTGAGGGTCTGAATCACTAGCCGAGATGCTTCTTCGGGTGTTCTTGGAGGTGGTTTCTCCGACCTCCACGCCTCAGCCAGTTTTCCATACCTTCACACGCACAAATTATCATAAAACAATCAGAATTTCACCACTCTGTAACTGTGATTACTTCAATTAGAATCGCATTTCATGAATTTCTCCACTCCGCAACAAAATCACCAGATATTCCGTACCAATTCGCCTGCGCCTTCTTGGAAGAAACCACATGCTTACTAAGTCCTTGAGGAACCTTTCAAAAATTAATCGAAGCAAAAAGATCAACATCGAAGCAGAGATCGTTCTCGATTAACGAATTGAACTTGATTTCCAGAAAGGATCCGATTCAAATTTCAAATTTCAAATTTCGAAACCAAAACACCGTTAAAAAGGGCTCACGAGTCACGAATAACGGGAAATGTAGTAGTTGGAGCTCAGCTGCAGATATAGAGAGCGTACCTGAGATGTGATCTCGAAATCGAAGAGATCGTGAGCAAGAGCGGAGACGCCGACGGTGGCCGGCGATACGCCGTGAGGACCGAGGGAATCGGAGCCGCCGCCGCCGCCGCCGCTGCCGGCGCTGGGACTGCAGAAGTGACCGCAGAGGAACCTGAGAGCATTCCCCATAATTGCGGCCTTCGCAACGCGAATCTGAGGATTATGGCTTCAGAATCAGACTGAAATTCTTAAGACTCAAGCAAAGCAAATTTTGAAGACTTTTTTTTTTTTTGGCAACAGTAGAGAGAGATTGAGAGCGGAGGACAGGAAGACACGTGGCTGGTATTGATTCGTCGTGGAACAACTTGGGAATTTACAATAAAGTCAGTTTAGAGTTCCTGTTCTGTGATCGTTTTTTTTGTTTAAGGGGGGATCGAGAATACATAGACACGTGGCAGACGTGGTTTCCTTTTTTTAAACAAGAAAATGGCTTAATTGCTGACTGTACAAAATTTTGTCTGACTTTGCTGTGTGAAGTAAATATTTAATTAGTTTCCGAAGTATAACTAAAGTGTGTATCTGAATTAGTGCATATAAATTTATTATTATTATTTCTCTAACCTCAAGTTTAGCACCGACGTAAATGAAATGGTTAGGTTGGTTTCTATCGAGAGTTGACATATAAATTTTAAAAAGTTGAACTAAGTTAASGTTATGGTTCCAACCTTGACTAATTTATTTATTTTTCAATTTTAGTTTTCATTTATRAAGTTTACGATTAAAATTTTTTTTTGATGCATGAACTAATAATTTATTACTTAGCAATTTTAATTGAATTCATTTACTTATTTATAATTAATTAATTTTCTAATTCGACTAATATATTTTATTAAAAAGTTCATGCATTTTGGAAAAGAGATGAAAGATAAAATATGCAATGTACCAATTCAAAAGAGTAATGCTAAAATACTATAGAAACTTGGGGATAAATTACTGTACCAAACTAGGGTAGAATAGTATTTATTGTTACAACAAGAGGTAGAATAGTATTTATTGTTACAACAAGAGGTAGAATAGTATTTATTGCAGTGAAGCTGAGTTTATAAGACTATGAATTTGTACCAAATCTTATTCTCCGTTTTGAAAACAAGAACCAAATACTCCTTTATTGGCTATAAAAGTTAGGAAAATACTTGCCCGCTTATAACCAAWTTTTGCCCCACCATGATTAAAAATTTTGACAATTCATTAAYTTTTAAAATAAATTTTATTTTTACATCTCTCCCTAAACGATCAAATATCTAATTGTAGTGATGACAAAATTGGTGATCACCATCAAGGAACCAATTATTTTCATAAAAGTTAGGAGATAAAAAGACTCATGTTGCATTATATATTTTTTATTTGATAGACACAACTTAGTTTAAACACTTTTTTAAAATAATTAGCTAAGTTCTTAAACTCTAAAAGTAACATTTTTAATAATCCTCTTTGAAGTATTGCTTAAAAAAGTGTTTTATAACCAAATTAATTATTTAAAAATGCTTTTAACCGTTAAACAAAGTTTTTTCCAACTCGAACATAGTTAAATTAACTAATTAAGACACTTATCTCTCATAAATTTGAATCTCCAAATAGTTTTATTTAAAAAGCACGTTTTTTCCAAAGTCATTCCAAATATATTTGTAACAAAATATTGTATATTAAAAGAATCGAAAAAATGGTTTTTCTTAAATCTATTTCGATCCATGAATCAATAACGTTATTGATGAACTTATTGTTTCAGGTTGGATGAGGCTAGCTCCACAATCGCAAATTCTTCACTGTTATTTTTTATATTTTTGTGGGTAGGTTTGGGAAGTTACTATATATATATTTGTAAAAAAATTGAATGTCGTTGCTATAACATGTAATTAATTGTACTTGTTTTGCCTTAAAATAAACGTCTCTGATTTAAGATCAATATGTCAGGTTGGGAATTCGAACTTACAAACTTTTGATCAGATATCTTAACTACGCTCATATTGATAATTTAAGAGCACTCCTAAAACATATCCTACGCGTTTTCTACCCAAGAAAGCATTCAAAATATATTTGTAACCAAATATGCACCAAATATYCTTTTTTGAGGTGGAAGGTTGGTTACTCCAACCCCACCAATAGTTAAACTAAGAAAAAACTCTCCCCCAGAATTTCCATTAAGGTAATTCTTTTTTTGTTTACTAATGGCAATAAATTAACTTGCACTCATTTCTTATCATTAAAAAATACTTTTTTTTTTCAAATTTCATATATATTTAAATGACCCATCATCAAAGAGAAAAAATATATCAAATTTGTAAGAAAAATGGCCAACTCCAATCTTGCAGCCTTCCTCCTCTTCCTTATTTTCTTCACTTCAATTCCCTTTCCTCACACATCAGCATCCCCAAACGACGTCGTCGCTTCCTACATTTGCCCTAACACCAGAAATCCCCCTTTCTGCTCCAAAATCGTTCATTCCGCCGCCACCGCAGACCTCAAAATCCTCGCCGGCTACACCCTCAACCTCGCCCGCGCCACCGCCGGCGACGGCCTCCGCCTCGCCCGGTCGCTGGCGGCGACGGCGGCCGATCGTCGGCTGAAGCAGCGGTACTCCTCCTGCGCCGCCAACTACGACGGCGCGTTCGCCCACATCGGGCAGGCGCGGAAGTAYCTGGCGGACGGCGCCTACGACTACGTCGCCGATCTGACCTCCGGCGTGGCGGCGGCGGTGGAGAAATGTCTGGGGAAGCTCAAACTGCCGCCGCGGGGTCCGTCGGCGGTGACGAAGAAGGGGAATACTGTGGAGGATTTGTGTAGCATTGTGTTGGTTTTGGCTGAGCTTCTCCCCGGAACAGAGATCGAGATCGATGGTATTGGAAACTAGCATTTGTACTTGGAGGGGCCCAGAAATATTAATTATATATAATCTCTTTTAAATAAAATTAATTATATTTTTGAATTATCTGCCTTTTAACTTTGCTTTATTTTTTGTTCATGTCATCTAAATTTTTTATTCATTTTAGTTGGTGTAGTTTTARAAAGTAATTTTAATTCTTATACCTAAAAAACGTGACTAATTTAATAATTATGTGTAGAATTTTAACATAAAATTCATACGAACTCTTTTAAATATAAATTTATGATTACATCTCGATCATGTCAATATATTTTTTGATTGAAGTGTTGTGCTAAAAATATGATTCAAATAAATGAGATAAAAAGTAAAATGAATGAACCAAAATRGTCATTTTTTTAGAAGTATATAGACTAAAATTGTTGTTTTGAAAGTACAATAATTGAAATGAACAAAAATTTAATGTAGAATGTGAAAGTGTTCGAACATGTCTTGATTTGTTGTGCTATGTATAGTAATATATATATATATATATATAATTGGTACATTTATTATCTAGACATTATTATTATTATTTGAGAAATATTTTAGTCAATCTCTCAATATTTTATCACCATAAAGAAAAAAAAATTTAATTAAGGAAGAATTCAAATCATCTAACTTGTTGAAAAGGTTTTGATAGTTGAACTATCCTAAAATTGACATTGACATTATTTTCAAATTCTTGTATTAAGTATAAAAAAAAATAAATTGAACAACCCATCGCTAAACTATAGTAATTTTTTTTTATGGGTACTAAACTATAGTAATTATTACAATTGCATCTATAAAACTAAATTTTATTGCCAATAACAACATGAATTCCTTCTCTTAGTTCCATGTTCCATTCTCACTCTACTATACTCCACCAAGAAAAAAGGAAAAAAAAAATCCCTATCCAAAGTGAAAATTTTACACCTATAACTTTGAGTTTAATTTCAATTTAGTGGGAAAAAATCTCACAAATCATCCCTAGACCATTAGAATAAGGAAGAGAAGTAGTTTATAAACCATGAACTCTCAACAACCAAAATTTGCAAATTTGTGGCTAAAGAATATAATAAATCCACAACACTTGGAAAACCATCCTTCCATTTGATTCTCTCTCTCCTCTCAAAGAAATTACAAATTATTTCTTACTTTCTGCTTCTCTCTCTTTCATTCTTCCTCTTCCTCTTCCTCTTGAAGGTCTCCCATGAAATGGCTATGGTTTCTGAGAACAAAACTTCTGTGTGCGACGTTCTTCATGCCCTTCGAGTGGAAACCCCATTGCAGTTTGTACTCAAAGCCTCTGTAAAATCCCCTTCCGCTCTCCTCATGTTACAGCTCTCTGCAATTTCCTTAATGTCGCAACTCATCGAAGCCTGCCTCAGACCGCTCGGACAATCCTCCATTGTCTCTAATATCGTTGTAAGTTTCTTGCCCAATCAATGCACTCTACATGTTTGTTGTATGTTCTCAAAGCCCGTCTCGAACCAAATCCACCGATCGTCTCGCTTGTCACAGTAAGTTTCTTGCTCAATCTGTGGATGCACTTTATGTGTTTGATGTATGTTCTCAAAGAATTTGTTTAGATTTTTTGCTACAGCTAGAAACTTATGCTTGGTAAATTGGAGTATCTTTTTAGTTTCTAGATATATTTGGGCTCGGATTTTAATTTGATTCAATGGAGGAGGAAACGATATAAGATCCAACTCATAAGATGTTCTTTGATGCTATGTCTCGAACGTAGGATTCATTGTTCTGATACTATTACTAGTAGACTCAAATGTTTAAGCTGATAAGTTACTGCATATTTATTTAGTCTCTAAGATATGTTCTTAATAGGCCATTTTGAATATGTTGCTTGTAGGGCGGCATCATCTTGGGTCCATCGTTATTGGGGCAAAACGATGATATAGCGAAAAGTTTGTTCCCCCAACGAGGCAATGTAATATTAGAAACTTTTGGAAGTTTTGGCCTCATGTTCTTCCTCTTTGTCATGGGAGTGAAGATCGATGCAGCAGTGATGCTGCGGCCAGGGCGCCAGGCCATGCTTGTGGGTCTGTTTGTGTTCATTTTCACCTTGACATTCCCAATCATATTTGTGTTCATTGTGAAGGAATTCTTCCCAATCTATTACCACAGCGCCAACTCTATTTTGCTCATAGCTTTGTCTCAGACCTTGATTGGCTCTCCTGTTATTGCTCTTCTGTTAACCGAGCTCAAGATCTTGAACACCGACATTGGCCGCCTTGCCCTTACTTCATCCATGTTCTGCGATGTAATGGGCATCTTCATGGCTGTCGCCACCTTATCATTTACAGAAAACAAGAATGCCAACTCCCAAAATCCAATCTATTCACTAATATCATCGCTCGCACTCATCAGTGGCATCGTCTACATCCTTAAGCCCGCAATTCTATGGATGCTGAACCGATTTCAAGAYGGGAAGTTGATTAACGAGATCTGTATCATCTGCATTTTCATTCTTGTGCTGTTCACTGGGTTTCTGAGTGAGATMATTGGGCAACATTATTTCTTGGGGCCATTGGTTCTTGGCTTGGTTGTGCCAGATGGTCCTCCATTGGGGGCTACCATTGTGAACAAATTGGAAACTTTAGCTTCAAGGTTGTTTTATCCAACTTTTCTGGCTGTTAGTGGATTGCAGACCAATATCTTCATTATAAATCTTGATGCTTCTTGGGTTATTGTGATTGTTCTTCTGTTTTCCTTCCTTGTCAAGATTTTAGCAGTGACGGTGCCTTCAAAATACCTCAATCTGCCTCTTCGAGATGCTTTCGTTCTTGGCCTCATTTTTAATGCAAGAGGTTTCTTGCAGCTGATGGTTTTCAATTTCTGGAAGCATAGTGAGGTAATGAGCTAAAAAATTACTTTCTTTTTTTTTTTTGACTGATTCATGCATATGCATTAAGTAAAATATCCGTTAAATTTTAAAACTTAAGCTATGAGATTATAAAGTAGATTTAATGACTGAATGTATTCTTAACATTCCCTYGTATCGTATGTACGAATTATTCATAAAAATATGAAAGTGACACAACTGTGTAAAAATTTGTATTTTGGACTTTGATTTTGCTCTAATATGATGTTAAATCACTGATAGCTAAATTTGGAAGTTGAAATGAGGCTAAATTAAGTTGGGTTAAATTATGTATTTAACCCTTATAGTTTGAGCTATGTTTCGTTTTAGTCACTTTGAAGTTCTTTTAGGGTCCATGTGGTTCGGTTTGATTTTGCAAAAGATGCCTTACCATTGCCAAACGTTAAACGTTTTCTTTGGACGAGATAGAGAATATGTGATGATTTGGTTCAATATTATGTAAGTCATAAGTGAGAGTCTCAAATAGACAAACTTTATTAGAGTTTGAGTTGATAAAAAAAATATTAGAGAAAGTCAAGCTGTGCATCCAAGCCGAAGTTGCTCTTTTTGGTCGCAAATTGCCTCTCTGTTTTTCTTAAAATCCCTTATCTCCAAAATTCTCCCATGTTTTTATCAATCCCATTTCTTCTTTGCCCCAAAACTTACTCAATTTCCTCTATTTCTTTTTCTAATTCAACTCGAACTCTAATAGTCTAATATATTTCAACTTATCTTATTTTGAATGTTAGTTCATTGTCTCTCTTTGCCACCTTAAAAATAACGCGCCACTTAAGAAAACTCTTGATATCTAATAATGATAAGAACATTTTAGAAGATATAACCAAACCACAGGAACAATGATAAAATTTTAGAACTCTAAAACGATCATTAAACCATTCATTTTATATACATTCTCAACACATCATCTTCATCTCTTTTTCTAATGTTTTTTTTGTAGGTCATTTCAGATGAAGAGTTTGCTTTAGCTGTAGTCTCAGTGGTGGTTATAACAGCCATCATAACACCATTAATCAAGCTTCTTTATGATCCATCGAAACGCTACTTCTCATTATCAAGATGTACAATTCAACACGCGAAGCCAGAGTCAGAATTCCGAATCTTGGTCTGCATCCACCACCACGAAAACATCCCCACCATCGTTAACCTCCTCGAAGTGTCCCATGCTTCAAAAGACAGCCCCTTGACCGCCATAGCTCTTATCTTGGTCGAGCTCGTTGGCAGAAGCAACCCGGTTCTCATATCGCACGAACCCGATCTCACTCTCGAGAGAACCACATCCAAAGCATCCCACATCCTCAATGCTTTGCGACAATACGAAGATCACAATGCTGGCAACGCTACTGTAGAAGCTTTCACCACAGTCTCGCCTTACAGTTTTATGCACGACGACGTCTGCAGAGTTGCATTCGACAAGAAGGCCACCATTGTCATCCTTCCTTTCCACAAACAGTGGGCGATTGATGGCTCGATCGGGCAGGTGAACCGCTGCATTCAGAATATGAACCTCCAGATCCTTGATATGGCGCCCTGTTCCATTGGGATTCTAATAGACAAGGGAGTGTTCAGCAAGCAGGTGTCTGTCTTGACGGCGCGAGCTCCATATCACGTTGCTGTTCTGTTCATCGGTGGCGCAGATGATGCAGAGTCTCTAGCGTTCGGAGCTCGAATGGCGAAGCACCACGTCGTCGACTTGACCATTGTGTGGTTTCTTCTATT